GATTCTCTCTCCCTCTCCTCAGCGCAAGTTCTGCTTGGGATTCTCTCTCCCTCTCCTCAGCGCAAGTTCTGCTTGGGATTCTCTCTCCCTCTCCTTCTGCCTCAGCCCCCGCCCCTGCTCAAGTGTGCACACTCTTTAAATAAATAAATAAAACCTTAAAAAAAATGCTAAGTCCCAGCCTTCACTTCACCCTCCCTCGCTTCATTTCTTTTTCTTTCTTTCTTTTTTTTTTTTTTTTAAGAATTTATTTATTTATTTGACAGAGAGAGACAGAGCGAGAGCAGGAACACAAGCAGGGGGAGTGGGAGAGGGAGAGGCAGGCTTCCTGCCAAGCAGGGAGCCCGATGTGGGACTTGATCCCTAGGACCCTGAGATCATGACCTGAGCTGAAGGCAGATGCTTAACGACTGAGCCACCCAGGCACCCGTCCCTCGCTTCATTTCACTCCAGACTCGTCACCAGCTAACCATGTAATGTGACCATGTAACGTAACATGTAATGGCTTCCAGGGCGTCTGTCCTGCTCCCTGCTGTGCCCTGGGCACTCACACTAGGGCCCAGCATGAGGTAGCCACTAAGTATCTGTTCACTGAGAGCAGGACCAGCGCCAAGCTGCAAGCCCAGGGCTGCCAGAGTCCGACCTGTCCCCCTGGGTCTGTCCCCCTCGGGGATGGCTGGAGAGAGCGTGGCTACAGTAAATACCATTCTGTGTGGTGTGGACAGAAGGCCGAAGACACACCAATCTGGAAGAAGCGTAAACAACGTAGCTGGAATGCCGAAGAGGATACACAGTGAACAGCCAGAAGAACCGACCTGGCAGGGCAGGGATGGGGGGGCGGGGAGGAGGCCCTGCCAGACACACCGCTGCTCTGTGCCTCACGCGGACCTCTCCCTCTATGGACACCATGGGCCCTCTCCCTCTTGCGGCTCCAGTCCAGCAAAGCAGGACAGAGACAGCCTCATGTTGGTGAAGGAGAATAGAGCCAGGGAGGAGGGCAGGAGGTGACGACCACAGGGGACCAAGTAACCAGGAAGATGTCATTGTCACGGTGATTCAAAGCAGGTCATTAAAAGAGGGCGTCACTGATGGTGGGGCTGGGGGGGGGCGGGCAGCAAGAGGAAAGATAATGAAGAGTATCCGTTTATTAAATGCCAAAGCAAACAGACTGGAAACAAAACACAAAGTAAAACACCCCACCCTTAAGCCCTGACAGGCTCTGAGTGACCCCCAGGCGCTGACCAGCTTCATGGAATATGGCGGGCTGGCGGGGGGGACACACATACCCTTCCTCTGTCTCATTGATAATGTCGCAGATCTCCATGTTCAACGTCCAGTCCTCGCTCTGGAGGGAGCCATCTGTTGCCTTTTCTGTAAAGTCAGAGAAAAGACGGATTTACATTTCTCCCAGAATAAGGGGGCCCTGGCAGGAAACAGGAAGGGCCCAGAACCACCACGTTCTCCTCCCAAGCAGATGGGCTGAGCCAACAGAGCAGTTCTAGGGGTGCTGTTTCACCAGGGAACATCCGGGGCGGGGGGGGGGGCGGATCTGGGCCTGAGTTTTGCAAGATGAAAAGTTCTAGAGATTGGCTGCATGACAGCGAGGAGGTGCTTAACACTTAAAACATGGTTAAGACGGCAATCTTTACGTGACATGTGTTGTAAGACAATTACAATGTTCAAAAATTAAATTAAAAAAACCCACAGCCCCCTTAAGGTAGGTATTATTCCTTCCTGCATTAAGAAGGAAGGACAGGCTCGAAAAGGTTGGGTACTTGGCCAGGATCTCACCAGGGGATTGGGGTTGACATGCATTCAATGTCAGGTCTGCCCACCTCTGAAACCTAGAGAGTTGCATGACACCAGCCCACCTGCTAACCAAGCTGGACTTCAGATCTGAGGTTGTAGCTCAGACCAATTCTAACCCTGTCCCATCCCAACTGTGTACTCCATGAGAGGGAGAACATCGCCACCATTTTGTTCATACAACCCAGACTTGCACTGGTGCTCAAATAATAAAACAGATGACCTCCGTACATGCTGGAAGTGTCCTTGCTCTTTACATAACATACCAGAACTCACACATCCAAACAAAGCCTGTACTTACAGGCAGTGACAACACGCTCCAAAAATATAGCTGTTGCTCAAAACATTTGTGCAACAGCTTCAGTCTGCATTTAAAAGCCTCGTTGTTTTACTTTTTGCCAAAAAAAAGGGCATATCCCCAACTTTTCCACCCTCTTTATTCCTCAACCATAGCACCCAAAGACCCTAGACCCACTGGAACAAGCAAACCCCCCCCCACAAATGAGGAGGACCTGCGTCAGGCGAATGCCAGGCATGCAGCAGACTGGGCAGAGCACTGGGAGATTGGAGGAGCCCGTCACCAAAGTCCACGAGGGTGCCAGGCTGGCAGGGACAGAGGCAGTATTTGGTGAGTGCCTTGTAAAGAAGAGGGAGTTGTGTGCGGAGAGGGAGAGGCAGGGATGAGAACCCATGTCGGAAACTGTGCAGAGGCACACAGGCCCCAGAGACACTGCTCCCCTGCCCCGTGCACGGCATGCATGTGGAAAAGAGGGGCCACGTCAGGAGAGCCACTTCGGGGGTGGGGACAAGAGCCATGGTGGGAAGGGGAGGGGGGTAGGCCCCCAGGATGGATGGCTCCAAGCACCAGTCAGCTTCGCCCGGAGAAGCAAAGACTAAGGGCAGAGGCCATAGGAAGGCTCGGGGGACAGGCAGGAGGAAGCCTCTGGAACGGGCCCAGCAGCATGCTCCCTTGGCACCGGGCTTCAGCCAGGGTGCGGAGAGGGTAAGTGTGTGGGTGATACGGCTCGCGCCTCCAGCCCACCACGCTCCCTGACACACTCAGCTGTCTCCCCTTCAAGGTGTCCACTCCCAGAAGAGGCGACTCCCCAAAAGGCCCCACACAGCAGGGGAGTGTCTGTGGCCACAAACGCAGAGCGCATCCTCAAGATAAAGCCACTCGGCCTGCAGGCGGCGGGCTTTCCACCCCTCCACTCTCCAGCCTGGGGAGAGGCCAGTGGCCCAAGGGCCTTCGGAGCTGGTCATCTGTCCCTGTCACAGCACCTGCTGCGGCCCAGACTCTCACGAGGAAGAAAGTCTGTGACTGCACTTTGTAGGGCCATAGGGACACTGTCTTGGGAGGCTTAATGGAGGAAATATTAAATCAATGAAACCTCATTTCCAAGTTCGGTTTAGCAGCAGAATCCATTAACCTTATATTCACCCGCTCCCTTCCTCTAATAATACCAGGAAGGGGTTCAAAGGCATGATAACTTATCCTCCGGGTAGCGCATTCTATTCAATTACCGGGATTCCGAGTTTCCAAGCTAAAAGATATATACTCGTTTTGATTATAAAGAATCAACCCAAAAAGAATGCTGCTCTCTTTTAATTTTGCTGGAAATGCCACATAAATACAACCATGGGTATTTGGCTTGGCTGAAACAGATGAGGGAAGTCAGGCTGACAAAGGAGCTCAAATCAGTTCTGATTTTTCTCTCCTCATAAAAGAATTCCCAGCAATGGGAACAAAGTTGTATCTGATTGCCCCTGGAACTGTGGCCACTCAATGCGGGCTCCCTCACTTCAGAGGAAGCAAAATTCAATCTCATTTCTTTTGTCACGTAAATCGTCAAAACCTAAGATAAATCCTGGTGCAACAGCAGAAACACAATGCTCCAGGGAGCAATGGGGCAAGTCATTCCCACCAGCCAGCCCTCGGGACGGATAAAGATCAAAACGCCAGTGACCCTGGCTGCAAAAGCTGACCTTTCGGGAGTTCTCTGGTGAAATGCTAATGGCCAGGGGCTGAGCAGGGCAGGGCTGGGCAGGGCAGGGCAGGACTGGACAGGGCTGGGCTGGACTGGGCTGAGCAGGGCAGGGTTGGGCAGGGCAGGGTAGGACTGGGCTAAGCAGGGCAGAGCAGGACTGGGCAGGGCTGGGCAGGGCTGGGCTGGACTGGGCTGAGCAAGGCAGGGCAGGGCTGGGCAGGACAGGGCAGGGCAGGGCAGAACTGAACAGGGCTGGGCTCGACTGGGCTGGACTGGGCTGAGCAGGGCAGGACTGGGCAGAGCAGAGCTGGGCAGAGCTGGGCAGGGCAGGACTGGGCAGGGCAGGGCAGGGCTGGGCTGGGCTGGGCTGAGCAAGGCAGGGCAGGGCTGGGCAGGGCAGGGGGGCAAGACGGGGCAGGGCTGGGCTCGACTGGGCTGGACTAGGATCAGCAGGGCAGACACAGCTCCCATTAAACCTTCCATACAAGACAGTATGCTAACTTAATGCTGTTGCCATGGCATTTTCCCCATTCAGAAAAGGCTGCCTCCCACCTGGTGGAGGCTGGGGGTGCCCTGAAGCCTGCCTGGACCCTGCCAGCAAGAAGCGCGCTCTCTCAGGCTTGGTTTCTCGGTGCCCCCACCCCTACCCCTACAGCCTGAAATCCCAGGCAGCCCTGCTGGGAGGAGCCTCACAATCCAGGGGCATGGTTTCTTGCTTGCTACTGTCTACACTTTGATGTTAAATATAGTGACTTCAGAGCCGCCAGCACCAGAAGGCAAAAGAGGGCTGGCTTTAGCATTTTGCATTCAGCAACATCCTTTTGGTGAGAATGGACAAAAAATAGCCAAATGCTCTCCCTCCCCAACAATCAAGGGTGTGGGTAGGCGCCCAGAGGCAGTGGCAGAAAGGAACAGCACAGGGTTGCTTCATGCCAGGTGTAGGGGAAGAAGAGAAGGGGGTTTGGGTGGGCAGGAAGCTCATCTGATAATATGCACCAATAAGAGGAGATGAGCCTTCTGGATTACTACACGCTAGTGAGGCAGGTTGGCATATACCACTCAGGTGGAAAGAAAAATCAATCCTGACATTCTACACAGAGCCATTATTGTCTATTGCTTCAAATTCCTAACATGCTTTGTGAATGTTAATTGCAGCTACTCTCCTTCCACTGGAGAGACAAGAGAATGAATTCCAAGTACTCAACCCTATTCTATAGGATGTCCTTTTCTCTGACAGCTGTCCCTGCTCCTCTTTCACCCCTCCTCAAAGGAAGATAACAGGACAAGACGAAGATAGACAAAGTATGTCTGGCCAGCCTGTAGACTACTGTGAGGGAGCTCACAGTAGAGCCCCACGGTCCCCATGCCCTTTACTCAAGACTGGCAGAGCCTGGCATGGGCCATGCACTGCCCTTGCGGATGGAGAGGGAGATGATTAAGACCCTACCTTAAGAGGTCAGTCTAATGGGAGAGGCAGATAGGCATCAGTTAAGATACGGGCCAGCCTGAGCAAGCACAGCACTCTGGGTGGCTTTGATACCTGTGCCCTGGTGCCAAGGAGCGGGGAGGAAATTAATGGCCCCCCGCACACACACCGTGACAGACAACAGCATGCTTCTTTAAGCAGAACACAAAGGTTGACAAGATAAGCCAGAGGGATCCAGCCAGTGACAGCGTGAAGTCCCAGAGGAAGCTACTAAGCCTGTCTCTCACTCCCCAGCTAGAGAGCACCAAGGGAAGGCATGAGGTAGAACAGTGCTTCCCAAACTTGGCTGCAGGTTAGAATCACCAGGAAGATTTTTTTTTTAAGATTTATTTATTTGAG